ATTCGTTCTGAGAGATAGTTCTGCTGAAAGGTTGTGACAGACAGAATACAACCATCTGCAGTGTGAGACAGCTACTAGCCAACGGCACTAGATAATGGTTGTACATCTCAAACTGATTGACAATAAACATATGAATCACTGAAAACTGTCTCAGCGTTTCAAGCCTTAAGCAATCTCCACTAGACTTGAAGGTCATGAGTCCGACTCCAGGTGGATTTGGGGTTGTGCATTTCTGTAGAGAACAGTAATAGAATGATATTGTGGTGTGTGCTACTTATATGAACGATATAAGTATATAAGAAGGGACGTGAAAGGAGAAGTCTCACGGTCAGAAGAGGAAAACGGAAAGCAAATAGAGCAAAAGCAAGAAGTAAATGGAGTACCAACAGGAAGGAAAGGAAGCAACAACAGGAATAGAAGAAGGATGAGGTGTTGGAAGTCACGACTCAAAGATGGTGTGCAAATAGAGTGTTCAATGTAATGTTTTCGTTTTTAACTGACTAAGAGTGTAAATTTGCACAATAAAATCTTCTTCGCCTGCCTTCTCAATTGATGTCGCTTCCTCTACACAGGATGAAGATCCTGTGGAAGAAATAATAATAAATGCTATATTTGTGGAGGAACCGGGCACTGGAAGAGGAATTGCCCAACAAGACGAAAACGTAAACATTTTAGACCATATGCATGGTGTTCTTTATTTCCTGTGAAACTGGGGGTCGCGGCAGTAGTAGATAGTGGGGCGGTCTATGCGAGAGTAGGGATAAACGAGCGAGAGGTAGTGTGCCTGATTGATACAGGGGCGGCAGTTTCGTTAATAGACAAAGAGCGGTGTAGAAGTATCAGGCCGAGTGCATTAGTTGTTAACACCATCGGAGGCCACGTGTTAAAAATCCTAGGAGTCTCAAATGATATCGTGAAAATCGGCAATTCGGAAATACAGTTTCCCTTTGTGGTAACTACGAACTTGTCGAGACCAATACTAGGAGCAGATTTCTTGAGAGAAGTAGGAGCAGTTATTGATACAAGAAGCAAGAAGGTGATTACAAAGTACGGTACACTGACAATACATGAACGCATCGAGGTGGCGGAAGTTAGAGTAGCGAAAGAGGACAATGAAAAGAAACAGAACGTTAACAAAGTGCTCACGAGATATGCGAAGTTGTTCACGGGAGACGGAGAACCGTACGGATTTTGTAATAAAGTTAAACATGAAATTCCGATGAAGAACGAAGAAGTGACCATCTTCACAACACGACGGGTTCCCGTACATTCGGAAGCTGAGATAAACCAGCAGGTACAGGAGATGTTAAAGGCAGGTATAATTGAAGAAGCAGATAACCCGTACAGCTCGCCGGTACTTTTGGTAAAGAAGCCAAATGGAAAGTATGGATTTTGTGTTGACTTTAGAGAACTGAATAACGTGACAGAACTAAAACCATGTGCAATGCCAACAATATCGGAGACATTAGATCATCTACAGAGTGCTCCGGTGTTCACAGTGTTAGATTTACGGTCGGGCTATTGGCAGCTACCAATAAAAGACAGCGATGGCAGCAAAACGGCATTTACTGTACGGGAGAAGCAGTATCAATTTAAACGAATGCCCTCTGGATTGACGGGTGCACCGTTTACGTTTCGAAGACTAATGACATTGCTGCTCAGAAACCTGGAGAATGTCGAGGTGTATGGCGATGATTTGGTCGTATATAGTCGTACAGAGGCAGAACATGTGAGGCACGTGGAGGCGGTCCTAGGACGAATTGATGAGTTTGGTTTATGAATTAACAAAGACAAGTTTCAGATAGAGAAAAGAAGCGTCACGTTGCTGGGGCATAAAGTAGGCAATGGAGAAATAAAACCACTGCCGGAGAAGATTCTAACGATAAAGAATATTGCACTTCCCAACTCAAAAAGGAAGTTAAGACAGTTCTACAGCAGATTCGTGAAGAACTTCAACGATATAGCAACACCCCTATATAAAGTGCTAAGCAATGCGAAGTTTACGTGGACAGAGACCGCTCAACAAACCTTCGACCGAATCAAAGAGCTGTTAGATGACCGCCAAGTGACGCTGAGACTGCCGGAACCCGAGAAGCCATTTACATTGACCACTGATGCGAGCGATCACGGTATAGGTGCCGTCTTGAGGCAGTCTGACAGAGTGGTGGAGTATGCCAGCCGTGTCCTTACGCCAACGGAACAGAAGTATTCCACAGTAGAAAAAGAGTGTTTAGCGATTGTATGGGCGGTAGACAAATGGAGACCGTATCTACTGGGTCGGCGATTTCACATCGAGACGGATCATAAGCCCCTACAATGGTTGAAAACAGCAAAAGACCCCCGTGGGAAGTTGGCTCGATGGATGCTACGTCTGCAGGAGTATGATTTTAGCATCGGGCATGTGCCAGGGGACGAAAATGTAATGGCAGATTATTTGTCAAGACCGGACACCGAAGCTGAACTTCCAGAGATAGCGTGTGCAGTTAACGGCCTAGAGGGAGACCCCCCAGAACTCGTCCGACATCAGAAAGCCGACCTTCGAAAGGTAATCAGAGTGATAAAAGAGGGAGATGTCGACAAGAGTGGAACAGACAAAGAATTAACAGTGTTGCTGTGGCAGAAGGAGAGACTGAGAGTGAACGGATACGGAGCCTTGACCTGGAGGGATGATGACGAGAATTGGGTAGCGATAATCCCAAAAGATCTGCTCCAGGAGATGATTCGTGAATGTCACCAGATAGAGCACACAGGTATTGCAAGGACAACTGATTCGCTGCGACAAAGTGCGTACTGGCCAGGTATGAGAGACGATATTGCACGATATGTGTTAGCGTGCCAGCAATGTCAACTAATGAAAGGGGATCGATGCATACGACCGCCATTGCAGTCAATTCCAGTAACAGCAGTTGGTGATTTGTGGTCAGTGGATGTTATGGGACCGTTTCCGCAGACGACAAGTGGTAACCAGTACCTGCTGGTGATGACTGAGCATGTCACACGATGGGTAAATGCCGTGCCGAAGGCGGACCATGGAATACCAAAGATAATATTAACCGATCAAGGTCCCTGTTTCGAGAGTGATGAGTTCAAGTCCCGTCTAAAACAGTTAGGTATCAAGAGAGTACGAACAACGCCGTATCATCCACAGACGAATGGGTTAACGGAAAGGAATAACCGAAAGCTAAAGGAATGGCTAGCATCTAAAGGGGGTAACTGGGAGAAAGAATTACCATTAATCTTGCTGGCACATCGTGCCTCGGCACAAGGAACAACCAGGAAGTCACCGTTCCAGCTGATGTATGGCAGACGGCCGAGACTACCTACGCATGATAAAACCTGGCCGCAGCAACGGAGATGGAATACAACAAGGTTGAGAACAGAGCGGAGACAAGCAATCAGGAATGTGAGAGAGAAACAAACATCAGACATGGAGAAGTCGGAACAGTAGAGAAAGAACTGGAGACCGTTTGAAGTGGGAGGGACCGTATGTATTCACAGAGAGACGCGGCGCAGTGTATACGATCCAGAAAGGAAACAAACAGAAACACGTGAATGCCAGTCAACTCCAAAGGTGGTTCCAGGTGCGCCAAGAGGGCTAGCCACAAACACTGATAAAGAAGACGTCTGTACGGCTATCAGAAAGACTGAGAGAGCGACTTGTTAAAGGGGGGACGAGTGTGGTGTGTGCTACTTATATGAACGATATAAGTATATAAGAAGGGACGTGAAAGGAGAAGTCTCACGGTCAGAAGAGGAAAACGGAAAGCAAATAGAGCAAAAGCAAGAAGTAAATGGAGTACCAACAGGAAGGAAAGGAAGCAACAACAGGAATAGAAGAAGGATGAGGTGTTGGAAGTCACGACTCAAAGATGGTGTGCAAATAGAGTGTTCAATGTAATGTTTTCGTTTTTAACTGACTAAGAGTGTAAATTTGCACAATACAATCTTCCTCGCCTGCCTCAGTCTTCTCATTAACACTGTTCTGTGCTACCCAGTTTTCACTGGTTGCCTAAAGTCAGTTCGTGATATAAACTATGATAAATAGTACACGGAATAGTGGATAGGCCCAGAATTCAGAATGCGTGACTAAGATTTATTGAGTATTCCAATTAAGAAAGTGAAAGAACTTGGGTAATCTTGTTTGAATATAGGTAGCAGTTTTATCATTATAACTCTGTGTTCTTCATTCCAAACTTATTCATTCCTCTTTAGTTCTCAATATACACCGTTTTGCCCTCTTTACTTTTATGTTTTATTAATTTCATAGTAAAGTATCCCGGCTTGTGACAATTAATAAGAATTAACTTCAACTGTAATAAAAATGTAAGCATGGAATGTCCCGTTAATAAGAAGCAAATGTGGTCAAAGTTGGGCTTGTTAGAAATGAAACTAAAGAATTCATTAGAAATATAGGATGAATATAATCCACTACTGTGACTGATTGTGTGAAATGTAACTCTACGTCCTGAACGACTGCTTAGGAGTAATGTGTTAGTCCTGAACAGGAGATTTGCTCCTACTGGAATCTTTCAGATCACGAAACAGTACCCTCCTTGATCTGACTCTATCTGACTGCATTTCCCAAAGTCGATCAACATTGAACGTCGGAATAAATTATAGCTGAGCAACTACGTTAGTAGTTGGAAGATTTTAGAAGGTTTAAATGATTTATTTCTTTTACCTAGTACCTTGTGTTAGGAAAAATAAGTGCACTTCGGTATTCATTTCTTTTTAACACTAAACTCTTGTTTGGCAAGTATTCCAATAATTCTTTCGATGATTTTCGGATTAATTAAACTGTGAGACCATCTAATATAGGTGAAGAAAGTCTTTCTTATGGATTGATATGAACTGAAAAAACTTCTATAATCAAGAAATCCTGAAAATGCTTTATTAGTACTCTCATTACTATCGAAAACTTAAATTAGGTTCGTGATGTTACTATGATGAATTACTGGCTTAGTAGAATATTAAATCTTCCGATAGAAGCAAGAACATAAGATCAGTGTAAAAACATGTTTGTATACTAACAGAAAAAGCTAAATATACATACTTGGGTACCATATTAAAACGTGAGTTTTACATTCGTTTATTCTTAATTGTTACAGACAATAAATATTTGGCTTCTATGAATGAATGACTAATTAGGTTGCAAATTAGGTTGAGATAGTTTATGTTCAAGATTTAACGGGAAATTCGTCAAGTTTTCAAGTTCTGATGAATAAAAAGCACCATGAGGTACATCGTTTGTAGATTGTGCATTTAATATGCTTGACTGGTGATTGTCATTGGTGGTTTGATTTGGTTGCACAAACATTTCATATAATCTGGCAGTTTGAATAAGATGAATTGCAGTAGCACGTAGAGATACCGATAAGAGACTGGTAGTAGTATTCGGCGTTGAGAAGACTGACGATGGTGCAATCGTAGATGATAGTGATACTATCCCAGTTGTAATATTTGGAACTATTGGTACTAAATAATTTGTAGAACTTGTTGAATAGGCTACATGCTAAAAGCGAATGAACATTTTTATTTTAAGAGATACGTATTTATGAAATACATCTTAGCATGACACCAGAGTTAATTTTTCGTGAAATAATAGGAAACGTATTTATCAGTTAAAAATGTGTGTGCATTTTTAAAAATTTCTTTATGAACCGAAATCAACGGGAGAACCAATGAAAATTGTTAGTTGTGTCAAGTGAACATTACCAAGAGATAGGTATCATTAATAGTTTAAGTGACGAAGTGAAGCCACCATCATCCAAACATAGTGCACTCGATTTCGAGTCACTTGAACTACTGCTCAGATTGAAACTTGATCCATGAATTTTATCAGCACCAAGAAGGACCTGACACACATGACAATTGTCACTACACAGTGACCGATCAATTGTAAAAAGCGCATTGCAACAAACGAAAAGCCGTAAATGTCACCTAGTGGATTCAAATTTGTGCATGATTCATATTATAGTATTCAATAGTTCCTTCTGTTCTTCATAATATATGGAGATATATAAAATTCAAGAACGAAGGAGTTCAAATGTGATCAATTTCTAATTAGCGGACATTTGAATATGATTTTTCAAACTAAATTAAACTTGTTGTTTGTTTTGTTTAGTTATGGGTTATGGATTTAATCAAAGTTTGCGACGGTTTACACCTATCACAGTTCCTACTCTGCTGATTGCAAATTGACTGATACAAAAATTAAACATAAAATTGGATTACGATTACGGATTATATAATATATTGTGCAAATAATTTCATATAGAAAACGTTTTTGCCTATTTGATGGATCTTTCTTTTTAAGTTTTTTAATAGATAACAAATGTATTTCTTAATTAATAATCTGATATATTCTGGATGATTGAAGTGACACTTCAAATTCCTTAGTCAGTTTTCGATTCGAGTTTTTCATTTAGTGATTTTCAAAAAGATACAATAAATAATACAAATAAACGAACTGGAATTAGTATATGAGTAATAAAGATAAAGGATAATTTGATTCTAATAAAATAATTATAACCTTATTGACCTCATCATCCTATTTCGGTTGTACATTGAAAATAAGAGGATGTATTGAATTCAGTGTGTGATTTACTTAGCACTAGGTGCAATTGTTCAAATGAATTATGTGTTAACTAAATTTAGGAATATGATGAATTGTTGTATGTCGATTAGTTGATCTAAAGTGTAAGAACTCAATCAGAGCCCTACAAATACTTGCTCACTGGGAGAGTTACGGGTTCACACTACTGAGCGTTATTAAAGTAAGATAAATATCCATTTGACGGTCCTTATTTTTAAGCAGTTCTTCAGCTGATATCCATTCGTAATCAAAATTATCGAATAGAGAATAGGTTGCCGTAGGTAGATTTTTTAATCTCACTTTTATTCAGTGAATAAAATGAATAACAAAAAGATTAAATTTGGACAAAGTGAGGCTTGGTCATATTCATGACAGTAACAGAAGAGATCAAATTTCACTTAATTAGTTCAAGAGCATGAAGTGTGACATTTCAGCAACAATTTGCGTGAACTGAGATTTTTCCAGGTTCAACATCGCTTTTTATGTCGGATGACCTTGAGTAGCGTTAAAAATCACCCGGAAAGCATTAAACTGCTTTTTAATTAGAAGTAGTCTTTATACTTTATACTTTTTCTTTAGAAAAGTAATAAGATCATTCTGTTCATCCAAACTTATACCAAAGCTGGATGCATTATTTCTGTTGCATATTATCATGTATAAATAGAGATCATATTTGTTTTTTCTTGATTACAGAAGTCAGCACCATTCACGAAGAGAGCCTATATTTTCTCCTGATAGTAGAAGAATTTACGAGAAATGGACAGAGACTAAACAGCATAACTAGTATTAAGTTATTCACTTAAAGAAATATTGTGAGTATCAACTTGACAGTGATAAACACTTACATTTGAAATAATTGGATTAGATTGTTGACAGATTGGATGATCGATTAGTGGTGGTCGAATCAAAGATAGTGGATAAACAAGAGGGATATTTGAAATAGAATCACTTGGAAGATAGTTACATTTAGTATTCGGCACATTCATATCTTTATCATTTTTATCATTTATGGATGTATCGTAAGTTTTACACAATCCGTTAGGTTCCATGGTAGATATAATGCTGTCTGTATTCAGTGAAACTGGCACGCTTGACATGCTTGAGTTTGATGTCGAAGTAGCAGATGATGTGTGCTAAAAATAAAAATTGCCCTCTTGTAATTAAATCAGTATTCAACATAAGTTGTTGAGAGTTAAAAAAGAACCATGATTCACCTATATTGGTCAGCTTATTTCGCTATAGTATCCATGATATGAATTAGATTTTTTCGATGACTTACAAGTAAAAAGTCAAATATAAACACAAGGAAATCTATCAGTTGTAAGTAGTTGTCCTTTTAATTATTTCTATATATATTATTAGTAGTATGATACAAAATAAACGTGAACAACTAAATTGTACAGTTTTCCATACTCAGATTGAGTTAAACTAGGTAATTACTGAGTTTTCAAGATGGTTTCGGACGAATTATTTTGCCAACGCTGATTTATGTTTACAAGAGATACGATAATTGAAATAGTAAGAAACCAAACCATTATTTGCAAGTAAGGAAAGAATCATATTGAAATATCTTTGTAGTAAGTACAGTAAGCCAAAGAGCATTTAAACGAGTAGAGAAGTTTAATGCTGTTTAAGCCTAACAAAGTTTCATTTTAGTGAATTGTTTAAGTTTCATAGTTTAACTTTACATAGTGAGCTATATTGACTGGAACATACGTTCCTGTAGATTCTACCATGCCAGACAGGTCGACTGGAGAACGGTGAGACTAAAAGCAGTAACTCAAGGTCTGAGGGAAAAGTCGTACTGCCGACTATAGAGACGTGTGACAGCAGCAAGATGTTTGCTTCGGACAACCACCATCTGTAGAGATGCTTCCTTCTCACAATGAAAAGAAGTTATTAGGAAAGGTCGACTGTTCACACTTCACCTTACCCTATGGATTTCCTTTTGAAGAATGGAGCTGGTACGTTAACTTCCCATAGAATAACTGTACGTAACCGGTCTCACGCAGTTGTCGCTTGGGCTTTGCAGTCATGATCCCAGGTCTCTAAGACCAACGCTAGTCCAACTTCCTTTCCAGGTCCCTCAGGAAGTACTCATTTACGGTGTGGGCAGCCGGGAAGTGACATCTGCCCTTATACCCGTAACAGCACATGGTATCAACTTGGTCACAACCAAATCTTTCCTGCACCTCTTAATAACTATTTTACCTCCACGACTAACTCTTCGAACCTCGTGCCACTAATGTATGCAGCGTCTTCGAAACACTTACACAAGATGCGAGTCTAGGCATTCATTTGACCCCACCTTGTCAAGATAATCAACCTCCTCGCTTTATTCTTCATGTATCTGGAAGCCCTACTGCAGATTCCCGTGGCCTCTTTGATGTACGTATGGCACCGAATCCTAAGGCAGAAATAACTCTCTTATACTGAGTCCCAGTAGACTGTCGCTTATGCACTGTCCGACTAAACGGGACAGTAAGAATACGGAAAGACACTCACCACTACCTCTGCAGTGTCTCTGCCTATACTCCAATTGATTGCAGTTAGGAAAGCTTTCAACCTCCTGATGTAATAGTAGTTGCGGGTGACTGTAATGCTCAAGTAGGTAGACCCAGAGAAACAAAAGGTTACCTGGGTGGATTTTATAACGCCGTGGACCAAAGAACAAATAATTGCTTCAACTATACTCAGACAACCCCCTATTCCTGGTAAATACAATATGAAACATAAGGAACAACATCTGCTGATATGGCGACCCCCAAAATCGACTTATTACCTGACCCATCTAGACCGCAACGCTATCAGCCACAGATGGAGAGGCTCGATAGAAGATTGTTGTTCGTTCTGGAGCACATGTTTAAATTCAGACCGTGCTCTAGCGCTAACGCGCGAAAACAGCAGTGATATCTGCTAGTAAGGTAAACCATAAGGTTGTGGCGAAACAGTGGATTTCAGTAGCAGGTACTTAACTGAGAGATGCTCGAAAAGTCATCCTATCTGGCTCTAAACATGACGAAGAGCAAAGTAAGCTTAAACTCAGCTCGATAAGAAGTCTACTCAATCATCGTGAACAATGGTGGGTAGTGGAAGCAAGAGAGTTAGAAAGTGCAGCGGCGATATGTAACAGTAGGCGACTATTCAGACATATTAAGGAAAACAGTATTTGGAATCTGACCGTACGTGATAATATCTCGGAAAATGATGGAATGATTGTTCATTCTCAATCCAGAAGACTAGATCGATGGACAGAAAACTTAAGGGATCAGTTTAACTGACCTACTGTCACACTTCGGTAACTCACGATCTCCAGCCAATCTGAGTGGCAAGTTGATGTAAATCCTCCAACTCTTAAAGAGGTTATAAAGGTTATAGGGAATCCGAAGCAAGGGAGAACAGCAAGACATGATAGGTTATCTCCTGATGCTTTGAAGGATGGTAATCTAGTTTAGAAGTTAGATTGACGGAGATCTTAGGTAGAATCTGGAGATTGGATGTAATCCCAATTGACTTGTATCAATCCCTGATTGTCCCAATTTACAAGAAAGAACAAAAGTTCACTCTTCACAATCACAGAGAAATCAGTTTAACTAACATAGAATCTAGAATAGTAAGTCAGTCAGTCAGTTGCGAAGTAGAACTTTGTACGTAAGTACATCAGTTCATGTCGCCATACCACATCAGCACAGAGATATAATTGTCAATTCAAATCCAATAGTAGAAGAGGTAGTACAGGTATTAGAAGTAATCGGAGAGGTTAGAATTAGAAGATATTATTCACGAAGTATGATTCAATGAGATAAGTTTAGAAAGTAAAAACTAGAGATGTTGAAGAACTCAGAAGATTAGGATTTGAGAGAACACAAAGAATAAATGCACCGGCACCACTGCGAACGATTTTGAGCCATGTCATTCTAGGTCTCTAACCATCGATTATTATCATCTCGCGGACCCCAACCAGGTAGTCGACAATTACCGACATGGCTAAGTCCACTCGTCAATGACTTAATGGATTTATGCGATGTTTTGGTCTGGCCGCCCCTAGCTCTCTTCCAACCTACTCCTACACCACAAAACATAGCTCGTCTCGGCAGTCGGTGGTTAGGCATACGTAACACGTGTCCCAACCACCTCAACTGATGAAGTTTCACCACTTCATCGACTGATCTGCCATTCTTACCTAGTACCCGTTTCCTAATAACAGCGTTGCTCACTCGGTTGTCCCACGATATACGAGCAATGCTTCGAAGACACCTATGATCGAAAACCAATAACCGACGAGTATCTTCTACTCTCATTGGCCATGTTTCACAGCCATAAAGTAAGACGGAGCGAACCACTGCGCAGTACACTCGTCCTTTAGTCAGCAAACGGATATCTCGCCTACGCCATAAGTGACGCAGGTTGGCAAAAGCCAATCGAGCCTTCTGTATCCGTGCTGAGATTTCGTCAGTCACCAGGCCATCAGCACTGATGAGACTCCCAAGATAAGTGAAGCGGTCTACACGTTCGACTACTTCACTCCCTATCACTAGTTCAGGTGCCGATGCAACCCAATCTTCAAGCAACATTTTGCATTTCGAGGGGGAAAACCGCATCCCGAACATGCTCGCACTGTTGCTTAGGGTAGTCAGAAGACTCTGCATTTTGTCAGCGTCTTCACCGAATAGAACTATGTCATCGGCATATTCTAAGTCAATAAGCGAGCCACCTGGTAAAAGGTCTACTCCTAAAAATTCAGACGAGGATAAGGTTATATCTAGCAGCATGTATATGATAAAATTAAACAAGAATGGAGAGAGTGGACATCCCTGACGGACACCACTTGAAGTAGAGAATTCCGGTGACAGTTCGCCATAAGCTCTCACTCGACCAGTGGTGTTTGAGTAGAGAGCTTGTATGAGGTTAATGTACTTATTTGGTACACCTTTCAATGACAGACACTGCCACAGAACCTCACGATCCACTGAGTCGAATGCCGCCTTAAGGTCTAGGAAAACAACTATTGTAGGACGCCTAAATGTGTGTCTATGTTCCAGGACCTGTCGTAGTGTGAAGATGTGGTCTATACAACCACGTCCAGGTCGAAAACCAGCCTGGTTTTCTCGAGTCTGCTCTTCACAAGCTCTAGTTAGACCTCTAAGTATAATCGAGGCTAACAATTTAGAAACTATATTAGTTAGACTGATTCCCCTGTGATTGTCACAAGAGGACTTCTGTCCTTTCTTGTATATTGGGACAATTAGCGACTGAGACCAGTCAGATGGGATTACGTCCAGTTCCCAGATTCTACCTAGGATCTCGGTCAGTCTAACCGTTAAAACTGGACCACCATCCTTAAATATCTCAGCGGTCAGTCTATCAGGACCTGCAGCTCGTCCTCGCTTCAGATTTCCTAACGCTTTCTCAACTTCATTAAGACTAGGGGGACTTACGTCGATTTGCCATTCAGGATGACTGGAGATCGTGGGTAACTGAAGAGTGGCTCGAGGCCAGTTGAACTGATCCCTAAAGTGTTCTGCCCATCGATCCAGTCTCCTGGATTGAGAATAAATAATAGTCCCGTCATTTTCTGAGATAGTCTCACTTACAAAAGGATTCCTAATACCAGTTTCCTTGATAAGTCGGAAGAGTTGTCTACTGTTGCCGATCGCCGCTGCCTTTTCCATCTCTCTCGCTTTCGCCACCCACCACTGTTCGCGATCCTTACGTAGGCTTTTTATAAGTCTGCGCCTAAGTTGATTTCGTTCTTCATCATGTTCAGAGCCAGGTGGGATGAGTTTTCGGGCATCCATCAGATCGGTGGATGCTGCTGAGATCCACGGTTTCATTCTAGCCTTATGGTCAACCTTACTAGCAGATATCACTGCTGTTTCCACAGCCTTTTTGATATCATTCCATCCAGCTTCCGGATGGGAATCGCTTAAATGGTCGCCTAACTGTCTTTCTAGTTGTTCCTGAAATATATTTTTCGCCTTATTATCATTAAGTAAAACCCTAAGAGGCTTTCTTACGGTGTCTTTCCTACGCCCAGTAAGCTTCAAACAAATACGCGCTCGCACTAGGGCATGATCTGAATCTAGACATGTGCTCCAGAACAAGCGACAGTCTTCTATCGAACCCCTCCATC